ATACCCAAAATACCCTCTAAGTCGCTGGCTATACTTACGGGCTACGGCATCCAGAGTCTGTGTCAAAGCTCTTTTATCCATGTTTTCTCCTTCTGCAACTATCCTTCTTTCTCCAACTTCTGCGTTTGTCCTTCTTCATATATATTTGTCGGCAAATCTAGGAAGAGATATAGGCAGTGGAGGACCTAGGGAGGGGCCTAGGGGGGCACCGGCTTCCGACCATGAAGTTTAGTATTTTAGTACTTAAGATAAAAATTGTGTCCCTACTATCCGGGCAAAAAAAAAAGAGTATTTTTCATAAATATTACCGGAATATAACTAATGAACAGAAATCATGGTCACTAAAATTGTTAAGGTAGTACATAAGTCATATTTCTGTCCACTATCTTTATTTCAATCATATTGTCATTATTTCAAAAAACTATTAGAAATATAGGACTCCGTCAAAGACATACTCCCTCCGTCCCAGAAAATTCTTCCTAGTTTGACTTGGATCGGAGTTTAAGAAAGTGGGAATAAAGTAGAAATGTGTGGTTGTAGTTGTGTAAGAAAAAGGTGAAATGAATGTGAGCCACACAAATAATCAAAAAGATGAAGTTGGAAGAATTTTCTGGGACGTCCCAAAAAGGAAAGTTGGAAGAATTTTCTGGGACGGAGGGAGTATAATAATTGTAGTAAGAAATATAAACAACTCTGAAGTTGTGATGGAGCAAATTCTTATAGTTAGGCATGTTGTTATATGGTTACTGCACTTTCTTTGAAAAGTGGCATTGATGATTTTTGTAATTGTTGTGAATAATGTTGATCCAAAGTTAAAGTTCAAAGATATGAAAAAGGTTCTAAAGATTGAAGACTTTTATCTTGAATAAAAGTCCATACATGAAAGAATGTATCAATTCGCGATAAATTAGTTTCATACTGACAAACCCTTTAAATTTTTTCTATAATATATGATATGATACTCGTAAAAGGTAGATATATATAGAATCATATTAATAAATAAAGTTAATTGTATTAAATTATAAAATCCTAAACTTGACTTATACTTCATTTTTAACATGATGGTAATATATTTCATTTCAAGTACCAACAAATTTTTGTGGCACAATGTATAACAACAACATGATCCTAGTTCAAATATGAAATATTAATCATTTTATAGTATGAAAAGTAGCGAAAATTCTAATGTAAAATCATAAACTGCACAAAGATGAGTCATTTCTTATCCGTCAAATTATGTATTTCTTTCCAAAAGACAAATATTATTGTTTAGAATTGTCTTATTGAATTCACAATTAGATTTATAATATAATCCATATATGTTCACTGCTTGGCGTCGGCATTGAATAATCTATTTCCAGTTAAAAATATTAATTTGAACGTACTTAACAAAAAAGACTAATGATACACCTGATTCGGACCGACCCGACCCATTTTCATCTATGTTGGAGTGCCCCTGCTTTGGGAAACTTCTGGAACCGCCACTGGATATAGGAGTCCGTAAGGCTTCACTTCTGGTTGCGGTCGTCGGTGAAGGACGGCAGAATAACAGGCATCGGCTTGTCTTGAATGTGACTGTGAACGGCGACTTAGTTCAGTGCGACGGAGCTGCCAGCGAGAGAGAAGGGACGTACGGAGAGTTTTCTCTCCCATCTTGATTTTGGGATTCTCTTTTAATTTAATTTGTGCATGGGCAGTTTTGTATTTTAATAATACAATACATCAATTATCACTTTTTATCAAACACTTCAACATTTACCTTTCAATTAAAATCACTTATGTTTTCAAATATTATCAACTTTTACTACAAACACTTTTTCAATAATCTCTTAAAAATATCACTTTTGAAAAGCACAATCTCTTGCAAGCGCTCCCTTAATAAAGTCTTCATTTTTTGGATAACTCAATAAGGAAATTATATCTTACAAAATGAGACTGAGAGAATAACATTCTTCAAAGTAGGACTATATATTTGATTTTTCGTAATTAAATAGAACTAAATATTTCATTTTTACCCCTAATTTAATTAATTGATTAATTAATTAACTAGTCTAATTAATTTCCCTATAATTTCCTTGCATAATTCATGTTGGTCTGTTAGAAGCGGGTCAGTCTGTTGTGGTAGCAGAAGAGGAAGAGGATCGGAGGAGGTGGAGGAGGTGGTGTACAGTGAGAAGCCATTGATCTTTTCCGCATGGGGGAAGCCATCGATCAGGTGTGTGAGTAGGGGTATAACGGTATATATAATTCAAGAAAGTATAAATAATTCAAGAAACATGGATATAAAGTCATTATCCTTGAATTAATGTTGTGTTTCTAGTTATTTTTATAAATTTAAAGAAATTATTGGCTTAGAATTACGGTATAAAGGTATAACGGTATACCGTTTATTTCCAAAATATATACTGATACCATACTGAAGTAATTCGGTACGGTATCATACCGTACCAAAAGTGTCGGTATACCAAACACTTCGGTAAATTCGGTATTTTTCGATATGGTAAGTCCGGTATACTGAAATTTCGGTATTTTTCCCCACCCCTATGTGTGAGTCGTGGACTTCAACAAAGCATGAGCAATAATGGAATGAAAAATTCCATATATTTTAAAATATGATCAGTAAGATGCTCTTGTTTGGGAGGAAACAGATACGATCCTATTTAAGAATTTTCATATTGTTCTATTCCTATATATGAGGAAATTTCTATATTAAGTAGTCACGTACTCATCATTAATCTATCTCAGAACTTGTTTGGTGACTTTGTTTTTTGGCTCATTAGACATAGCAGGCTTATCTGTCAACTTTTTAATCATATACATAACTTTTGATTTCACGCACTGAATTTGTAATAATAAGAAAAAGTAAGGTTGAAGTTACTTTTTTTACTATATTGGCTGAAATTACTGTAGATGATTATTTTAGTTATTTTTCCTATAATTTTGTCTTTATTTTAATTTATTAATAAAATATATTTTAAATAAAATGTTTTCATGTGTAATATACAATCACGCTATCTTAATAATCGTGACACTTTCTCATGTCTCAATGTTAGCGGGACGGAGGTGGTATTAAAAAACATGTCTATGTATCAGGGGCGGATCCCTTTTGTGCAAAGGTGTTCATGTGAACACCCAAAAAAAATAAAAATAAAATGTTAAAGTATACATATAGAATTGATGTAACAATTTATATAGTGTTTTTGTAGATAATATCTCTTGCATTTAATCCTATTTTTCATTTTGAACACCGACTTTTGATCGCAAGATCCGCCACTGCTATGTAGGCTCTGTTTGCAAACCCAACTGGGAAGTACTTTTAACTTTTTTAAATGATTTGGTAAAAAAGTGATTAATAGTAAAAGTTGGTAGTGTTTGAGAAAAAAGTGATTTTTAAAAGTAAAAGTTGGTGGTGTTTGGTAAAATAAGTGTTTTTTGTGTAATAGAAAAAGTAAAAAGCAGATTCTAGCTTTTAGCTTTTAAGTAATTCATTTAAGTAGAAGTTCTCATATGAAAACATCTATTTTAGCTTTTCTAAGCCAAAAGTTGTGAAGTGCTTTTTTAGTTGTATTTGCAAACAGAGCGGTATTGAGGTTTGAGTATCGTAGTATAAAACTTTCAAGCTCCCTAACGCTACATTTCTAGGTGAGGGAGTGAGACGGTTTCACGACCAAATGAGAGCGTGCAGTTTAGCAAGAAAGAAATTAGTGTTGGAATTGACGAATTGTTGTTGTAGAGGTTCCAAATATATAAGAATTAAATTATCAAAATAGGACTAAAAACTTGTGAGTTTGCACAAATAGGACCAAAAAGTAAATTATGTTTTGATAGGACTAATTATGTGTGTGTTGGAAAAATATACTCTTGTTGCTATTGAAATATTTTAATTCATAATTAAATAATAAAAAATAATAATAATTCGTAAAAAATACTAAAAATTAATAAAAAAATATTTAAATAAAAATTTATTTAAAAAATTTAAAAAAAGAAAAAGAAAATGAAGCAAACGCCATCGCCTCTACCGCCCCAGCACCAGGGGAAAAAATTGCCACATCCATTACGAATGTTATATTTACGGCAGAAACAATGAAAATGTTGGCATTCTCAAAGAGTAATATGCCACTTTTTGGCATTTTCAGGAAAAAAAAATGGCAGCTTTAAGAAAAAATGTCATTTTTACACCGATCGGAAGTGGTGGTGCAGAGAGGCAGTGCAGGCGGTGGGAAATCATCCATATTTTTTAATTGTTTTTATGGAGTTTTACTATTTTTATTAATTTAAATAAAAAAATATTTTTTATTTTATAAGTATTTATATTTTTTTTCTACGATTTTTTGAGATTTTTTGAGATTTTATAACATTTAATTATGAATTTTGACTACCCCTATGTTTCAAATAGGGGTAATATGGTCCGATTTTGGAATATTAACATAACAAGTCCTATTTTGAATTTTTGTCAGTTTTACTCGTATTTGGAGTAATAATTTCTATACATATAATCGATCTGATTTTGATGCATGCATTTGTTGGTCGATCAATCATGGAATTTTTTAACGCTCGTAACGGATGGGAGTAAGAGAGTAGGTTACAATTAAAGGTGAGAGTAGTGTACTTAATTACGTAGTCCCTAAGTTTGGGACAAACGGGTGTGGTGTGGTTTTTAAGAAAAAGTAAACTTGTGTTATTGGTATTGAATTGATAAAATGTGAATAAAGTAAGAATGAATTGTAACCATCCAAATATTATCAAATATGGTATGAGACAAACTTAATAGAACGAACGAAAAAGATAAAATGGAACAAAGTTAGGGGACGCTAATTATGCCAATATAACGTACGGAGGAATGGTGAGGATCATCATTCATCAGTCCCATGATAGAAGTATATACATAGCCGGCCCGGCCGGCCATGATATTGCATTCAGTACTAATTAATTAATTACTACTGTACGTAGTAATTACGTACAAAGTTGATGATCGAACTCTTGGAATTCCGTAACGACGTAATTAAAAAGTTAATAACTGCGGGCAACGTACTGTATAGTTCATATAAATATACAAGTGCTTGAATTCTCTATCCATGCATAAACAATTGAAGAAGAATAGATATCCGGCGGGCGGGCATATATACCATCATGTCGTCTGGCTCATTCATTTCAATTCCAATGGCAATACTCGTGTGCGTGTTGTTCCTCCTCGTACCGTCCTCAGAATCTGCAGGTATATGTCGTTCGCAGCCGCCGCGCGCAGCTTATTGTTTGTTTTTGTCATGATTAAAATTAAGTGTTTCTGGATGGTTTAATTTGAATACAACCAGCGCATATATACATATTTTTTGTATAATTAATTAATATAAGCAATTAGCATGTGGTGTGATGGAATATATATATGCATGCAGCAGTATCAAGACTTGGAAATGCCCAAAGAGTAGCAGCATCTGCGGAGGTGAAGTGCGCGGAAGATCAGGCTGCTGCGGCAGCGCCGCCGGCGAAGCAAAGAACATGGTGCATAGCAAAGCCGTCGGCATCGTACCAGGAGCTGATAGACAACCTGGGGTACGCATGCAACTTGGTCAACTGTTCGGCGGCGCTGATGCAGTCGGAATCCGCCGCGTGCTACTACCCCAACACCCTCATCAACCACGCCTCTTTTGCCATGAACCTCTACTACCACACCGCCGGCGCCAACCCGTGGAACTGCGACTTTAAGAATTCCGCCCTCATCTCTCTCACCGATCCTTCTTATGCCCAATGCAACTTCATTTCACTCTAGCTCATCCATCCGCCCTGCCCTTCTTAATTAAATGCATGCCCGCAGTATTATTATTCGACATATCTAATACATACATAGTTCAAACTTAATTAATTCGTCGCTTTCTGTTCTAGCTAGTACGTTCTTGAATTTATCATTTCGAATATACGTACGTAGTGTACGTATTTCTTGCTTTCATTTGTCTTGCCCAATTTGGTACTCATCCCCTATAATGTTCCGAGTACGTACGTGATTCTACAATACATCATTGCTGCAGTTTAATTGAAATATACTACTATACGTATGTTGTACGTGCATGACACTCGATCTTATGTCATACATGCGTAATTTAAGGGCTAAAATCCATCCTAAATCCGAAATAATAAACAAAAACACCATTCAAAGTTTCAAACCTAAGTATATTCAATTCTCTTATACGCGATCCAGGAATTCTTAAAAACAAAAACAAAATAGAAGAGTAAAATCAATAATTAAGATATTGAAAATTAAAACAACAACAAAAAGCTACGCATAGCAGCACAAGTCGATATCTTTCACACACAAAAAACACAAGTCGATAAAAGAGGCCGGGGAGCATATAAAAGTAGAAGAATCTTTTAATGGAAGCTATTGAATCCTTTTTTCATGGTATAGATTTCATGGTATAGACCTGCGTTGGACAAGGAATGAAAACCTCAAATAAGATCACGGTGGCCTGTATCCTAACTAGATTTTGGAGGTCCAAATCTCTAATTCAGATTTGGCAATGAATCAAACCAGTTTGTAATAATGTACTCGTATTTATTAATAATAATTAGGTTGTCTAATTATAGTAGGAATCTCAATGTATCTTTGACTCTCTTATTATAAATAATACTTTCGGGGCTACCATTCGGTACGCTTTCTCATAATTCTCACATGGTATCAAGAGCCCTAGGCCATTAATTTTTTTTCGGTATTTGATCCCATTGATTCATCTGGGATGTTACTCTCAAGTTTGAATGCTATGTAGTAGAGTGCATATATCGTACACCCGACTGTACGATGCAAACCGTACAGCCGGTGGCAATTTTGTAAATTTAGTGTAGATCACGGTTTCTGCTAGATGAGCATTAATGTAATGTTAATGAGTATTGGTCCAATTTTAATGAGTACTAATAGTCTAACAGTACAATGAGCACTGTGTCATTACACAAAAGCTGATATCACAAATAAAAAACGGTGGCATTTTTGTAATTTCAGTGAACATCGTGATTTTAATTAGATGAGCATTAATACACTTTTAATGAGCATCAGACGTATTCTACTGAGTATTAAGAGTCGAACAATGAATATTGTGATATCAACTTCATATGTTGTAATTTACTTTCTTTTTCTTATTTTTTTCTTTTATAAAAAATCATTAAAGTGTATCTATAATAAACTCATACGAACTTCAATATGTGAATCTAATGTAATATGACACTTTTTTAAATATGCATTGAGAGAACATTTTAAAATGAGCATAATATGAGTACCTGTCACGCCTCGGACCTACCAGGACACGTCAACAATCCGCCGTACAGTACGAATAGTCAATCGCAGTCCAACACATCCATACTATACAAGGCGTCTGGAATATCATTCACACATAGTACATCCATAAACAAACATAATGTAAAATATTATTTAAAGCAGCGGAAGTAACATAACAAGTGTTCAAGCCACATTTGGCAAATATGGGTGTACAAGCCCCCAAATAATTATTGAGAGAAACATTATCCATGAGCATTAATATAATTGTTTTTAAAACAGAAATGAAGGATGCACGAACCACATCTTCTCTCCTCGATCTTCCCGAAGCAAATGGGCGATAGTAGCAACCTTCAAGTTCTACCTGAAACTGTGAGGTGGCCTCTCCCGTGAAGGCCGGGGAGGTCAGTACTTGGAAGCATTTGACAAGTACAATGACAACTATAGTAGGTATAATCAAAGTTTCAAATTCCAAGACCCTCAAATTAGAGTGTCAATATATTATAGTTAACCTCGTTCATTTAATGTCAAACCATCGTTATTTACTACGGTCTAGAGCCCAGCTCATAATCACCGTTATTTACTACGGTCTAGAGCCCAGCTCATAATTAATCACCGTTATCTACTACGGTCTAGAGCCCAGCTCAATAATCACCGTTATCTACATCGGTCTAGAGTCCAGCTCAATAATCACCGATATCTACCACGGTCTAGAGTCCAGCTCAATAATCACCGTTATCTACATCGGTCTAGAGCCCAGCTCAATAATCACCGATTCTTTACAATTCAAATTCTTAGGATCCATTCATCCATTATTCAACTAACAATTTCAACTAATATTTCAATACTAGTTATTTACTCATTTCAATATGATTCTTCATTCATGAGTAATTTAGCCTTAATATCAAAATATCACTTTTATCCTTCCATGACTTCTTCTCATGAAGTTAAAGTATATTTATCACAAAAGATTCATGGTTAATACAACTATCATGCCATCATATTCATAATACATAATCATACACATTTTATTCATAAATTTGTGCATTTTGCATTTTTACTTATAAACAATAATAATTTCATTTAGGCATTTTTAATCGTTATTAATCCATGCCAAACACATTTAATTTATTTAGGTGATCTTATGAAATTAACCCAATAATTATAACCAATATAGTCGGTCATCCTCACCTTAAGTGAGCTTAAGCGCGTTCTACGCTCCCCGATTGAACTTGGGTGAACTCCGGCGAACTTTGACCAACTCCAGCGGACTTTGACCAATTCCGGCGAAACTCCGGCAAAGCTCAAAAATACTTTAAATCAAGTCCCCAACAAGGTTTTAACATCATAAAACCTCAATCAATACAAATAACCTCTAAAAGGTTATTTTCCGGCAAACCGACCGTTTTGGCTTCTAAGTCTGTTTTTGGACATAGAACCACCTCCCAACCCCTTGTTCCACATTTATCAACATGTAGAACAATCCTAGGGTTCTTCATAATTTCTCAAATAATAATATATTCAAGAAAAAGAGAAGAGAAAGGTAAATGAAGTCATTACCAAGCCTTTCCTCAAGCTTTGTACACTTTTGGAACTTAAACTTTTTTCTGGACCTTCCTTCTCGTTGGAGCTTCCTTCAACAATGGTGAGAGGTGGCTGGAGTTTTTCTTTCTCATGGTTGGGGTGGGTTGGCCAAAAATAATGGAGAGAGGGGGTTGGGGTTGGCTCTTTGTCACAATAGGCAATTAGGTGTGGGTTGAGAGACCCACCTTTGTCCTTTAGATGCCTCTCAAGTCAACCCAACCTCCACCCATCTTCCTCCTCTCAACTCAGACGCCCCACAGCTCAATTTGTGTGTCTAAATTCGTGGGTTGGCCCCCACCCATGTGGGAGGTCAACCCTTTTTGTCCAGAAGTGTACAATCGGTCCCGAAAGTTGTATTTTTTGGACTATTTTAAATATATTTTATTTTATCGGGTCAAATAAAATATATTACGTGTTCTCAATCATTATGACTCTTATAATGAATATGAATATACATTTCCCATCTTTTAATTTATAAGTCTCCGAAATTCATTTCGGGCTGTTATCTGTTAAATTACCAATACCGGTAATTGAGCCTCAATTGACCAAGCGGTCAACTCTGGGTCTTTCCATGGCCCAAATAAAGTATCCTGCCCTATATAAATATTATCTCGACCAAGATAATTAAAATATACAGTTTCAGAAATTTCGGGCGGCCCCCGCTCCCGGTGTGGGCCCCACGTGCAAATTTACTATTCACGCGAAAGAATTAATAAAAATTCACAAGTTCGTAAATTCATTAACCATTCCATAAGGTTCAATACATTATTCACTTAAAGGTAAATACATTTGGGGACGGTGTTACAGTACCGTCTGAGCATGTGTAACTTACAAAAAGAGCATTAATAGTATGAAAATAATAATTTTTTTAGTTGAGTATCAAGACATTTTCTTTGAGTATCAAACCCCCTTTATTGAGTATAATATTACACCAATATCAAATGAGCATACTCAACTTAAGAATGAGAATCAAAAAAATCAAAAGGCTCATTCAAAATCCTTTTTGTGCTCGAATATATATTAAATGAGCCTATATAGTTTACGAAAATGAGTAATGAAAAATTTTAAATGAGCATTACACCAATACACATGGATATCACATTTTGAAATGAGCATTACACAAATCTAAATGAACATACTTAACTTACCAAATGAGAACTGATATGAAAATCATAGGTTTTGTTAGTTGAGTATCAAAATATTTTCATTAAGCATCAAATCTCCTAAAAGCATCAAATCTCCTAAATTGAGTACGAGAACCATGAATTGAGTATTATTAATCAAATAGAAAGAGGTATAATTTTTTTAATCAAATTTTCATCTCAATTAATTCATTTTGAAATTCTCAAATTAAACTTTCTAACACAATTGAAAGGAATTAAAACGAAAAAAGAAGTGAAAGTCTAAAAAAGTTGCAATTGCCGACACTCCCTCTGCATGTCACAGTCATCCACTCATCCCTAGCAGAACCAACTCCAATTCAGGCGGCTACTTCATCTCTTTCGGTGGAACTCCCAGCAAGCCAGGAAGAAATTCAGCGGGAGATTGGAACTGTTCATCAGACCTCATCGACTACAATTCAGCGCGCAGTGACCTCAGCGACTTCAATTCAGGGCGCGGCGCAATAGGGAAGACGACGGGAACTACATAACCTCTACCACTGAAATTCTAAATAATTGCAAAAATACCCGGTTGTACGATGAGCACCGTACAACCGGGTGTACGGTATAATTTACCCTATGTAGTACGTTTCTGAGCTCCAATATTTATTTGCCATATGAGGTTTGGCAAAGGCAAAGGCTTTCTGACATAAATGGCCGACTGGACGTCGAAAGCATCTCAGAAGGATGGTCGAGGACGCTCGGGCGTTATAGTCGAAAGCATCTTAGAAGGATGGTCGAGGACGCTCGGGTGTTAAGATTGACGCTCTACACTACGAAGAGGATGAATATAGTCAGCGACCACTTCAGTGATGGCTCGCGCCGACCAATGGCGTAGTTGCCAGCGATGTGTATCGATTGCTGCATATTATGGGGTGGATTCTTAACAGTGCATTGTGTAAGGGTATTTTTGTCCTTTCGGTTCAAAATTAGTCATATTTAGGATTGAAAAAGTGTCAAGTCCTATTTACCTTCGGGACTCTTGTTTTAGTCCTATTTAAGTCTATTTCCCTTTGGAAATTAAACAAATCTTCCATAATGCATATAACTCATACAGTATTGTTCTCAAAACAGTAATGCATAAGTGAGATAGTAGTTTCCATTAAAACAAAAACAAAACTGGATTCACTTTTATTATACTAAAACAATGTACAAGAGATTGAAGATTGAGAAAAACCAAACAAAAAAAAAACAATCAACCTCGTCCTCAATAAAATCAATCACACACTGGAGTGGCACGTGCTAGTGCGGGTCGGGTGAGCAAAAAACATGCATAAGAAAGAGATTGCATGCATCAAACGAAATGATGATCGGGCCGCCGGGTGAAGCTAGAACCGGAAGAATCATAAATTCCATCAATGTCAGCAAACGAGAGCCGGAACCCCATATCCATCTGCATGTCCGCATCCATTCTCTGGCTCATCGATTCCGCCGAGATTATCGACCCCGCCGCGCTTCCATTGGTCCGAGCATACTGTTGCACCACTAGCACCGAGAACGACGACTCGAACTCCGACGTCACCAGCAGGTCCCCCACCGCCCCAATCTCTGGGCACTCACACCAATCGGCTAGCCCCGATGTCAGCGGCGATGACCCCACACCTCTTCCCCTGCCCACCACATATAGGTCATGGTTTCGGTGATCCAGTGATTTCAAAGCCTTTGTGAACTCCTCCTCGTCCTCCAGCACCAACTCCACAAATGTAATCGTTGGATTCTCCGCGGTCTCGGTTTTGAAGCCATTGAGAAATTCCTCATCCGCTAGTTTCTCCCTCTCGACATCGTCGGCTATACCAATCGTCACGAAGCCTCCGGCTTTCTCTGCTGCCTCAACAGCATCTTTCCCTGGGATGAACCTAATGACTGTCAAATGAACGTCGTCTGTGTGGCCTGACATCCGTCGTGCGTACATTAAAGCCTCCCTGTCATCCGGGCCACCAAGGTACAACATTGCGATGTTCCTCGAGGGTTCGGAACGACCCCCCCTTCGTTGGACCAGGATGCCAACGGAACATGGGGCAGACGCTAGAACCTCCTCGTTAACGCTCTGAATGGCCGGGTTAAGAATAGTCTCATCCTCTCCGTCGTCTCCTCGTTGTTGCTTGTGGAATGGAAGGATGATGAGAGTCGCCCGCTTCTCCTTGGCAATTCTGCAAATGTCTTCCGCCATGGTGGAGAAAGTCGACCTAGCCGTCAAGACCTGAGTGCTGACCCCTTCAGATCGAAGCTCATAGTTGTCAAAGGCGCTTATGATTTGGTTGGTCTGTGCCTCTTCGTGTGTCAGGTTTTTGTGCCCTACGGAAGTGGCGGCATGCCTGCCGGAGCCTGAAGTGTGGACAACAAGCATCATCGGCGCTCGCCCGACTACCTCAAGTACTTGGATGCCGAAGACGGTGATGGGGGATGTTTTGGTGGGATTTGAGGATTCAAGGAGACTGATAACACCGGGAACATTGATAGAGTCATAGATGCAGGCCATGATTCTGAGCTCGTCTTCTGGTTTGGCCTTCTGTATGGTCCGCCGTTTGTAGGGCTCTGAGTTTTGAGAGGGGCAGAAGAGGGCGGTCATGGGTGTGACAACCATTGTCATCACTAGAGATGCAATCACCATGATTGTGTATGCTTGTGTTGTCAAAACCTGTTCTAGTTGCCCCACTTCGAGAATGACCATAACCATGACGCTTTTGGTGTTAGTGAGCATGCCAACACCGATGGCTTCCTTGGCCGTCATGCCACCGGTGAAACAAGACGCGACAAGCGCGCTCACAATCTTCGCCGAGCATGCCAATGCAATGAGCGCCAAGGCCATAGCGAGGCTGGTTCCACCCTCTCTCATTGTGCCAATATTCGTTCTCAGCCCACAAACCACATAGAAAACCGGCATCAAGATCCCCATCACAAAATCCTCAAGCCTGTTGAGGATCTCATTCCCGAGGAGGTCGGCGGGCATGATGAGCCCGAACACAAATGCCCCGACCATTGGGTGGGTACCGATTGCATCCATGACACACCCGGACATCGACATCCCGACGAGGGTGGCACAGATGTAGAACTCGCTATATCCCCCTTGACCCTCCGACTTCTTCTGGACGATCCATTGCAGGGTCGGGCGTAAATACTGGGTTGAGAATATCATATACACGACCGAGCATAACACCGCCCATGGAAAATTGGATGAGCTTCCCGTTGCCATCAGTCCTATGGCTAGAAAAACCCATGACAATCCGTCATTGATGACTGAGGAGGACAAAGCCACTTTGCCGATGTCGGTGTGGAGGGCCTTTTGGGAATCAAGAATCTTTGCTAGGACTGAGAAGCCGGTGATGGTGAGGGCGCCACCGCAGTATATGAAGCCGGACCAGTTGTCAGCCTCGTTGGGGAGGCTGAAGAATAGGATTGTTCCGATGAGAAAAGGACATAGCGTTCCTGAAAAGGCGACCACCTTGGATTTGGTTCCGGTGGCTTGCCACATCGGCTTTATTTCCATTTGGAGTCCCGTGATAAAGGCATAGAAGACGAGGGCAAAATGAGCCATCGTCTCCAATACTTCAAAATGGTAGTTGGGGAAGAGTAGCCTTCGGAGCCCATCTATCCTTCCAAACACACTTGGCCCCAAAACTATTCCACTCTGCAATTCAATAAAACAGCACCTCAACAACAAACTTTGTCAAGTTATATACCCTTACTTATGGATTCAAAACATTACACATTAGCAAATACTTCCAGCCGTACTAATTTAATGTTTTTGCGCCCAAGCAAGACATGTTCAGGGTTAAAAGAATAATTTTTCATTTTTTCTTTATTGAAACTAAATACCCTAGAATAAATTAAATATTGCTCCCTCAGTCCCGTTTCATAAGATACATATTCCTTTTTGGATTGTTCCAAAAATATGATCACTTTCTTAAATTGGTTTTCGTTAACTTTTTAATTTACCTCTATCCCTTTAT